ATGGCGTGGGCATGTATGGCTGCCAATGGAACTGCTTCTCTTGTATTTATTGATGATGTGACGGCTGACAGAAGCAGCCGGATGAATTGTGAAGTGTTTCGGGAATATTATCTGCTCATATTCAGCCAAATGCTTCACAACTCATTGGACGCTTCACAGTGCAGATGGACAATGACCCAAAGCAGACTGCAAAAGCCACCAAAGAAGTGGAATGTTCTGCAATGGCCAAGTCCATCACCTGACCTGAATCCGATTGAGCATTTCACTTGCTGAAGACAAAACTGAAGGGAAAATGCCCCAAGAACAAGCAGGAACTGAAGACAGTTGCAGTAGAGGCCTGGCAGAGCATCACCAGGGATGACACCCAGCGTCTGCTGATGTCTATGCGTTCCACACTTCAGGCTGTCATTGACTGCAAAGGATTTGCAACCAAGTGTTAAAAAGTGAAAGTTTAATTTCTGATTATTATTTTGTCCCATTACTTTTGGTCCCTTAACAAGTGGGAGGCACATATGCAAACTGTTGTAATTCCTACACCGTTCACCTAATTTGGATGTAAATACCCTCAAATTAAAGCTGGCAGTCTGCAGTTAAAGCACATCTTGTTTGTTTCATTTCAAATCCATTGTGGTGGTGTATAGAGCCAAAAATGTTAGAATTGTGTCCATGTCCCAATATTTATGGACCTGACTGTAGGCCCTTTACAGAACCATCTGGAGGGGGTGACTGGGGACAAAGGAGCATGGGGGGGGCTCTTGTCCATGATGGGCGTGGTACTGACGCAGCCCCAGATGATCCACATTGGCTCACAATTGATATGATCCAGAAATATTTAGACAGAATAAAGGTGATAAAGCCCCTGGACCGGATGGCATACACCCACGCACATATCCTCTCCCCCCTCAAAGCACATATTCACCCTCCCAAAACCCCCCATCTAACACTAAGCCTCTTATCCTTCTCCCCTCCTTGCACACTCTCATACCTAGTTTTTTACTTTGCACCCCCACCATGTTCCCAGTACAATACCCCCCCCCCCCCACCACACACACAGACCCCAGATGCAGTGCAGCAGATGGATGTGTAATGTTCTTCCTCCAAGCCTCCTCCTCGTCTTGGCACACCAGAGTTGTAGAGGAGCCTAAGGACGGTGGACTTTTCACACTTTCTCTTGGTGGGGAGAGATGCCTGGCTGCTGCAGGGGTATGTGAGAGCGGCTCGGGGACACCACTGGTTGTTTTTGCCTAAAAGTTAGAAAAAAAAATCCCTGAAAACAAAAAAGACAAAAAATGATGCATTTTGGAAGTGTCTAGAGTTGGGAAAGGAACCATGCTGGTGAGGGACAGAGAGTTGGCCCTAGGGAAGGGTTCTCGCTCAAGGAGGGATAGATTAGGGGCCTCTGCCTGGTTCACTATCCTCCGAACTTCAGTGATGTGTTTTAGGATTTGCACCATTACCCTGCCTATCAGCCACGCCTATGGAAAGGTGCCCTAGTAATGCAAACTATACCAGCAGTGACTCCTAGTTGGACTTCTAAGCAAATGTAGTTTTTGGCTCCACTATAATGAGTGGAGTGCTTATTGATTGTTTTGGCCTGACCAGGGTTCCTAGGTTGAGAGTTTGATTGTTTTCCCTTGCCTCTGAAAAAAGCTTCCAGAGCTTGGGGGGGTGAGAGTCAAATGGATAGCTAAATATTTAATATACCCAAGCCAGTCCCTGGAATGAGGCATCCAGAAGGTGGCTGGGGAGGTGATAAATGTGCAGGAGTCCTGGGCCCATGTTTTCCTCATCAGAGAGGGTTCCTGTAATGGAACCGACCCAGACTGCGCTTGAGTACTTCCATTAGAATACCGCTTCCCCGTCCGAACACCGACAACAGACACCACAGCTGACCATACAAGACTAGACACCAGTCTTGAAGTAAACCAGGAGGTAGACTACTTTATTTGAACCCAGATACAAGATATATACACTCAGGGAACAATCCCCCCTCCCTGCATAATGACACAGGGCGGGGCAATCTACATTTAGTAACAAGAGACACACAAGTATTTAAACGTCACACCAGCAGACAGTCCCATCAGGAGGGAGGGCTGCTGGAGACACCCCCCCCCCCACTAAGCTAATACACATAAACACATACATCCCATAATAATTTGCTCCCAGGCAAGACACACAATAGAGCAATGGGATGCAACCACATGACATTAAACAAACAAACAATCAACAAGCCCCCCACCCCACCTATCTCCTAAACATGTCTACACAGTCTGAGACAAAGCCCCCCCCCCGCCCAATATTAGGACAGATCACCCTGTACCCCTAAACAGGCACAGGGTGACTTACACATAAGAGGGATATGGGGAGCTGAGACAGGGGTCACCCCACCTCTCCAAAGTGAGCTGGGTTCCATGGGCCCCCCACCCAAAGTGACTCCAGTTCCATTCCACCTGGGGCTGTTGCCCCTAGGGGAATGGATCACTGAGACAGGAGATTACCATTTGGGGCCTCAGCGTTTGCTGGTTTAAGGACCTATAGAGAACAGCTGAAGATAGATACCTGCTGAAGGATACTGTTTCATAGTCCGGGTATGAAGGTGGACTTTGTTATTACCCTCATCAAGGATCTGCCTGTGGAGTCTGGATGGCAGACAGCTCCTGGGACACTGGGAACGAAGATCTTATTGGGGGCTGACAGTTGTGCAGATGCCTAAGGGGAACCAGTTGCCAAAGATTGCCCTATGGTCTATGGCTGTGGGGCCTTGGACATCCCGACATCTCCAGCTACCTCCAGAGAAGCTGCTATTGTGAGACTAGAGAGACACCTGTTCATTTGCTACTGTTGCTGATTGTTTTGGAGGGTTCCACAACCCGAGACCCCTCTCCAGGGGTGCCCGTAGCGAAAGAAAGAAAGAAAGAAAGAAAGAAAGAAAGAAAGAAAGAAAGAATAGCGCAGGGCAGACATGACTAGGTGAAGAAGGAGAAAAGACAGGAAAGGGTTAAGTTAAAGGGGAAGGGTTAAAAAAAGATAGTAAGGTTACCTGATTGGTGTTAGTAGGTTTGGGTGGGATCATCCTGAATCTTGGGAGAGTGCTGGCGGGTCGGACGAGCCAGTGCTGGTTAGCAGCTGAAGAGAGAAGTTCCCACCCGACCTCCCCTGGGGTGCTTGTTCTGTTAGGCTTGTTTGGATTGGTGGCAGTTGTTGGTCTTGGTAGGTTGTTAATGGTTTGTGATGATAAGTGTATGGTGGGGACCCATCTGTGGTATGGTTGGGACCCATCTGTGGTATGGTTGGGACCCATCTGTGGAATGGTTGGGACCCATCTGTGGTATGGTGCGCCCGGGTAAATTCCAGTTAACCGAGGTTTAACTGGAAGGTGGAGGTCTACCTGCGGAAGGTGTGTCCTTGTCTCCGAGTCGGTGCGTTGCGGATGGAGGCCTAGTAGGAACATTAAGGTGAAGGTTCCGCAGGGGGAGATAAATATTGTTTGGGGTGCCTGCCTAGACCAACAACTCATTCCGCAAGTTTAAGGAGGTTTCTGTTTTAAGGAATGTTTTCTGTATATTTAAGTTAAATTGTTAATAAAAGGCCATAAAGGCCATTTTACTCCAACAAAGTGTGGTCTCCTTTTATTAGTGAGGGGAGTGTTGGGAAATGGGGTTTTTTTTTTGGAAGTTGGGTAAGTATGTTTTGGGGGTGTTAGCATTTGACAACACATCTCTTCTACACTAGTCATGTTAATGTTTTGTGCCTGAATCCTGTAGACTGAGCTTTAATTGTCGGTGTGGTTGGGTGGCTGGTGGCCTCTCCACTACCTTGGAAGAGCCTGTATGTTTCCAGCTGCACCATCAGGGGTGAGCACAACATAGGAATCAGAAGGGACTTTCCAGAACTGGACGCCATAAGCAAAAAAACTGAAAGTAAAAGTCAGGAGAGAGCTGGTCTCTATTCCACACCCAACGCAAACATTGCCAAATCACTGATATAGACCTCATACCTCCCAGAGCAACAGAATGATGTGCGATGGACAATAGCAGTCCACTGGGCCGTATATAGGATCAGGGACCCAACCGTCTGAAACAACTGAAGAATAAACTTCACAGGTATTTCCAAAGTTAAAAAAAAATCTAACGGAGGAGATTGTGAATTCCAAGACACCGAATGCAGCCAGGGATACATCCTCGTACATTGCAAAGAGGAGGAAGGTAGGTACTGGGGAGGGGGGGTATTATAATGTACTATAGGGTGGGAGATTCTCATACACTACAAGGAGGGGGCAGGTAAGAACAGAGGACTGGAGGGGATCCTCATACACTACAAGGAGGGGGCAGGTAAGTACTGAGGACTGGAGGGGATCCTCATACACTACAAGGAGGAGGCAGGTAAGTACCGAGGACTGGAGGGGGATCCTCATACACTACAAGGAGGAGGCAGGTAAGTACCGAGGACTGGAGGGGATTCTCATACACTACAAGGAGGAGGCAGGTAAGTACTGAGGACTGGAGGGGATCCTCATACACTACAAGGAGGGGGCAGGTAAGTACCGAGGACTGGAGGGGGATCCTCATGCACTACAAGGAGGAGGCAGGTAAGTACCGAGGACTGGAGGGGATTCTCATACACTACAAGGAGGAGGCAGGTAAGTACCGAGGACTGGAGGGGGATCCTCATGCACTACAAGGAGGAGGCAGGTAAGTACCAAAGACTGGAGGGGATCCACATACACTACAAGGAGGAGGCAGGTAAGTACCAGGACTGGAGGGGGATCATCATACACTACATGGAGGAGGCAGGTAAGTACTGAGGACTGGAGGGGGATCCTCATACACTACAAGGAGGGGGCAGGTAAGTACCGAGGACTGGAGGGGATCCTCATACACTACAAGGAGGGGGCAGGTAAGTACTGAGAACTAGAGGGAGATCCTCATTCAGTACCCAGTGCCCACTGTCATACCCCTCACACTTCTCTCCTGTACATACCGATCATTGTCATACCTCCACACTCCTCTCCTGTACATACCGATCACTGTCACACCCCCCACACTCCTCTCCTGTACATACCGATCACTGTCATACCTCCGTACTCCTCTCCTGTACATACCGATCACTGTCACACCTCCACACTCCTCTCCTGTACATACCGATCACTGTCATACCTCCGTACACTCCTCTCCTGTACATACCGATCACTGTCATACCCCCCCACACTCCTCTCCTGTACATACCGATCACTGTCATACCCCCACACTCTTCTCCTGTACATACCGATCACTGTCATACCTCCACACTCCTCTCCTGTACATACCGATCACTGTCATACCCCCCACACTCCTCTCCTGTACATACTGATCACTGTCATACCTCCACACTCCTCTCCTGTACATACCGATCACTGTCATACCTCCACACTCCTCTCCTGTACATACCGATCACTGTCATACCTCCCACACTCCTCTCCTGTACACACCGATCACTGTCATACCTCCACACTCTTCTCCTGTACATACCGACACTGTCATACCTCCGTACACTCCTCTCCTGTACATACCGATCACTGTCATACCCCCCACACTCCTCTCCTGTACATACCGATCACTGTCATACCTCCACACTCTCCTCTCCTGTACATACCGATCACTGTCATACCTCCGTACTCCTCTCCTGTACATACCGATCACTGTCATACCTCCACACTCTCTCCTGTACATACCGATCACTGTCATACCTCCACACTCCTCTCCTGTACATACCGATCACTGTCATACCCCCACACTCCTCTCCTGTACATACCGATCACTGTCATACCTCCACACTCCTCTCCTGTACATACCGATCACTGTCATACCTCCACACTCCTCTCCTGTACATACCGATCACTGTCATACCTCCACACTCCTCTCCTGTACATACCGATCACTGTCATACCCCCCACACTCCTCTCCTGTACATACCGATCACTGTCATACCTCCACACTCCTCTCCTGTACATACCGATCACTGTCATACCTCCACACTCCTCTCCTGTACATACCGATCACTGTCACACCTCCACACTCCTCTCCTGTACATACCGATCACTGTCATACCTCCCACACTCCTCTCCTGTACATACCGATCACTGTCATACCCCCACACTCCTCTCCTGTACATACCGATCACTGTCATACCTCCACACTCCTCTCCTGTACATACCGATCACTGTCATACCTCCCACACTCCTCTCCTGTACATACCGATCACTGTCATACCTCCACACTCCTCTCCTGTACATACCGATCACTGTCATACCTCCCACACTCCTCTCCTGTACATACCGATCACTGTCATACCCCCCACACTCCTCTCTGTAAATACCGATCACTGTCATACCTCCACACTCCTCTCCTGTACATACCGATCACTGTCATACCTCCACACTCCTCTCCTGTACATACCGATCACTGTCATACCCCCACACTCCTCTCCTGTACATACCGATCACTGTCATACCTCCACACTCCTCTCCTGTACATACCGATCACTGTCATACCCTCCACACTCCTCTCCTGTACATACCGATCACTGTCATACCTCCCCCACTCCTCTCCTGTACATACCGATCACTGTCATACACTCCTCTCCTGTACATACCGATCACTGTCATACCCCCCACACTCCTCTCCTGTACATACCGATCACTGTCATACCTCCACACTCCTCTCCTGTACATACCGATCACTGTCATACCTCCCACACTCCTCTCCTGTACATACCGATCACTGTCATACCCTCCACACTCCTCTCCTGTACATACCGATCACTGTCATACCCCCCACACTCCTCTCCTGTACATACCGATCACTGTCATACCTCCACACTCCTCTCCTGTACATACCGATCACTGTCATACCCCCCACACTCCTCTCCTATACATACCGATCACTGTCATACCCCCCACACTCCTCTCCTGTACATACCGATCACTGTCATACCTCCACACTCCTCTCCTGTACATACCGATCACTGTCATACCTCCACACTCCTCTCCTGTACATAGTGCTCACTGTTCTGTTCTTTTTCACAGTTCAAAAAATAATTCTGGGGAAACATCCTCATCAGCTGACATCCAAAGAGGGACCACATTCCGGCTGTACATATCTCCCCCCCCCCTCCTCTCGTGAACGCACAGAGCATGGGCAATTCTATCTGCTTCCGGGACGACTCCAGCGTAAGTTGAACTTCTCTTGTTACTAATGAGATGAAATCTGATGTGTGTGATATCCGCTGAGCTCCGTGCCGAGATGAAATCTGATGTGTGTGATATCCGCTGATCTCTGTGACGGAGATGAAATCTGATGTGTGTGATATCCGCTGATCTCTGTGACGGAGATGAAATCTGATGTGTGTGATATCCGCTGAGCTCCGTGCCGGAGATGAAATCTGATGTGTGTGATATCCGCTGATCTCCGTGCCGGAGATGAAATCTGATGTGTGTGATATCCGCTGATCTCCGTGCCGGAGATGAAATCTGATGTGTGTGATATCCGCTGATCTCAGTGCCGGAGATGAAATCTGATGTGTGTGATATCCGCTGATCTCGGTGCCGGAGATGAAATCTGATGTGTGTGATATCCGCTGATCTCGGTGCCGGAGATGAAATCTGATGTGTGTGATATCCGCTGATCTCGGTGCCGGAGATGAAATCTGATGTGTGTGATATCCGCTGATCTCAGTGCCGGAGATGAAATCTGATGTGTGTGATATCCGCTGATCTCAGTGCCGGAGATGAAATCTGATGTGTGTGATATCCGCTGATCTCAGTGCCGGAGATGAAATCTGATGTGTGTGATATCCGCTGATCTCAGTGCCGGAGATGAAATCTGATGTGTGTGATATCCGCTGATCTCAGTGCCGGAGATGAAATCTGATGTGTGTGATATCCGCTGATCTCAGTGCCGGAGATGAAATCTGATGTGTGTGATATCCGCTGATCTCAGTGCCGGAGATGAAATCTGATGTGTGTGATATCCGCTGATCCCATCCACCGGAGATATCTGATGTGTGTGATATCCGCTGAGCTCCGTGCCGGAGATGAAATCTGATGTGTGTGATATCCGCTGATCTCAGTGCCGGAGATGAAATCTGATGTGTGTGATATCCACTGAGCTCCGTGCCGGAGATGAAATCTGATGTGTGTGATATCCGCTGAGCTCCGTGCGGAGATGAAATCTGATGTGTGTGATATCCGCTGATCTCAGTGCCGGAGATGAAATCTGATGTGTGTGATATCCGCTGATCTCAGTGCCGGAGATGAAATCTGATGTGTGTGATATCCGCTGATCTCAGTGCCGAGATGAAATCTGATGTGTGATATCAGCTGAGCTCCGTGGCGGAGATGAAATCTGATGTGTGTGATATCCGCTGAGCTCCGTGCGGAGATGGGGTACATGTTGTAGGAGATGAAGCTGGAACATATGAAGATCTTTGTGCAGTTCTGTACCCCGCAGGGGCTGCTGGGAATAGACAAGCTCTCCCATAGTACCGAGGATGCCAGTCACAGTTCTAGGCACACCGACAATTCCAGCTCAGTCTAGGAATGCTTTTTGTCGTATTTATTGCTGAAGAACTTTAACAGGAGAGGGGTTTAGGGTCACAGGATACTCCTAAATGATCAATAGCAATTATAGGAGGACAGACTTCTCATGAACCTCCTAATAGCAGCCTTTCCTGGAGGTACCAAGGAATGGCCAGTAAATCTAGGACCCCATATGTCAGAGCCTGGGTCCAAACCTGAGCCTTCTGTGGTGAGTGGTAAATGTTTCTTCTTGTTGAGCCACTGGAATGCTGGATACCTCCCTTGACAATTGTTTTGGATGATCCTGCCTTGACCTTGTCTGTCATGAACCTTGAACCTTTTTCTCCTCCCATGAACTTCCTGATATAAGCCATGTCTCTGCACTTCCTGTTTGCCAGATTATTGTGCTCTCCAGCCAGTATTGTGCTCCTTATCATCTGTTATTATCCATATTTTTTCTATCACTCGTTATTGACCCTTGGCTTGTTCTCCACTACACTTCTGCCTGATCCCAACCTGAAACTGCTCATTACCGACCTTGGCTTGTTCTCGACTATATTTCTGCCTGATCCCAACCTGCAACTGCTCATTACCGACCTTGGCTTGTTCTCGACTACACTTCTGCCTGATCCCAACCTGCGACTGCTCATTACCGACCTTGGCTTGTTCTCGACTACGCTTCTGCCTGATCCCAACCTGCGACTGCTCATTACCGACCTTGGCTTGTTCTCGACTACGCTTCTGCCTGATCCCAACCTGCGACTGCTCATTACCGACCTTGGCTTGTTCTCGACTATATTTCTGCCTGATCCCAACCTGCAACTGCTCATTACCGACCTTGGCTTGTTCTCGACTACGCTTCTGCCTGATCCCAACCTGCGACTGCTCCTTACCGACCTTGGCTTGTTTACTGACCACGCTTCCGTTTGACCCTTACCTGCTTAATATGCTACTGGACCTCCGCTTGCTCACCTCCTGGTGGGATGATCCTGAGGACCGCGACCTGTGCTAACACGCAGCCAAATCCATCTCCATCATTAGGAGCTGTGGTGAACACCGGTTGGTACTTAGACTCCGCACCTCAGGTGAGCCCACTCCTCCGCCACGGTGACCTGCTTGTGTACCTATCCTGCTGGTTTCAGGTGAGCCTTTCCATTGCTATAGCAACTGGTCTTTGAGCCTGACCCCTGATCGTGACACCATAGCAGCAGTCCCAGTCCATATACTGTAGACGCTTCTGGCACTTGCACAACTAATAGTCCCCAACGAGGTCTTTACTCACAGAGTCCTATGAGCTGTGTGCCACCCAGCATCCACAGTGAGGGAGACAAAAGGATCTTTCTGTAGCATCCTCCTCATTAAGTAGGGGGAGCTATCTGATTATTTTTTAGTTAGAAAGTCTGAGTAGCAGCCTGGGCAATAGTTGGGTCAGATTTGAGTCAGTGCTGAGAGGCTATGCAGATCAGTTCCTTAATACCTCCCCCTGCTCTAGAATTTTGGCGAAGATTCTAGAAGCAGTGGGTGGGGGTGAGGAGGAGCTGGTCTGCACACTCTGAGGACTTTGGCCCAAGCAGGAGGCTTGACATGGAGCCAGGGCAGCCTTTAAGTGTGACTGAGCCTGCTCAGCAAAAGAAGAATTCGGGTGAGGAAGATGTGAGGAAGGCTGAGATGTAGGAACCTGGGAGGGGGTCCAGTGGGAAGGGGGCCTACCTAGAGGCTGGGTGTAACGTACCTGGTGGTAGAACCTGAAGTGCAGAGGAAGGCCTCCCTTGCAGCTCTGGCTCAGGGGCCCTAGTAGAGTAACAGGGAGCGCTGGAGCACAGAGGTGCATGAGTGCTCGGTATAACTTCTGCGGATGGATGCTGAAGTGCGTCAGGAATGC